GGAAGTGGCGCTGTAGCTTAAGTGGTAGAGCGCTCACCTTGAGCTGAAGAGCGCAAGGATAGCACCCAAGCCCAGAGTTCAAGCTCCATGACCAACAATAACAACAAAAAAGGCTGTTGTTATCTGGTGAAACTCCGTGCAAAAATTAAAGAAGTATCTACAAGTTGTTAGAATTAATTCAACAGTCTATGAAGACTTCTAAATATGAAATTTAATATAGCTCAAATATTTTTATCATTCCAAATTACTGGAATATACAAACTCATTCAATGTACAATGTACACACACACACACACACACATATATATATATATATATATATATATATATATGTGTGTGTGTGTGTGTGTGTGTGTATGAGAAGCTGTTATTTCTTACCAATATCTGTAAGATGCTTAGATTAGGAATGCTTTCCTTTTTTTTTTTTTTTTGTCGGTCGTGGGGCTTGAACTCTGGGCCTGAGTGCTGTCCCTCAGCTCTTCAGCTCAAGGCGAGCGCTCTACCACTTGAGCTACAGCGCCACTTCCAGGAATGCTTTCCTTATAAATAGCTGTAGAGACAGGCAACAAGTTGAAGGAACAGTCTGTAAATTGTTGGACTTACAGCATTTCCTTCAAAATCAGAAACATTACAAGGTATTGATGGCTTACAAAATAAAACACGAGAGTCACAGATTTGAGAATGACTCTTGAAAAGTTATTTGTGAATAATTGCTACCCAGTATGTATAAATGCATGTCATTAATACACAACAACCCACTTTAAAGTAGGCAAGTGGATGAGCAAGCAATCCACATGGCTAGAAATGAATGTAGTAAGCAACTGTATGAGAAGATACTCAGACTTAGCAATCAACCAAAGACAATAATACAATAATTAAATGTAACACGATTCATAGTTTGGCAGAAAATGGAATGTTTGGCAAAACTGAGTGTCAGCAAAACCCTGAAGCAATGGGAATTCTACTGATTAACTTGTTAATTGCTGCATCCATTTGGGAAAAAATAATTTGGCAATAACTAATAATAAACTTAAAACACAATTACTTCTCAACTTAACAATACCAATTTTGTTCTATCTTCAGACATCTCTGGCTCCGTGTAGGAATCTTTACAGCAACATTGTTACAAATAATGAGCAAAAAAATGGATTAAATAATAATATTAATAACAAAGGATGTCTATCAAAATAATGGCCAATTAAAGTGTAATCTGTGTGTAAGGTAGAGCATTTTGTGTCAATAAAATTAAGCAAGTTAGATCCACCTTTACCAATGTGTATAATCTCAAACCAATACCGTTGGACAGAAGGGAGCTGTGTAAATAAGTATAATCTATAACATTCAAAATATGCAGCTTAATACATCAGAACAAAAAGTACAAAAATGTGCCTGAAATGAAAGTAAGATACAAGAGGCAGGCAAAGAGATACATTCAGACTTTATCAGACTACATAAATGTTTTAATTTTTTATTTCTATCCCACCCAAAATCAAAAAGATATGAAGAAAATGTGGCCAATGTTATAATTTGACAAAGCTGGAGAGGAAGTCTATGAACATTTATTGTAGTGTTCTCTGTACTTTTCTATGTAATTGAAATATTTTCCCATTAAAACAATCATAATAGTATATATTAAGTCTTTGGCACATCATGAGGGGCTCCAAAAGTGATTGTTTCCTTCCTTCCCATTCTTGGCTACAAGCTGGTATCCAGAGTGCCCAGGCATTACCCTTTGATTCTTAGCCCCAGGGTGGACCGGAATACTTGGGCTCTTCCTGAGCCAGAGACATCCTGGGTGGTCTCACCCATGTATCTTCCAGATCAATCTGGGTGGTAGGTTCTGACCGACACCCATCCTTACTGCAGAATTTTAGCAGCAGAGGCAGCTCTGGCCTGTAGAAATGTTCATGACAGAGAAATAGAAGACAACATCCTTGTTACTATGGATTAATACTAAGGATTGCCTTCCCAACTCCTATTTAGTGTAGAATTAGATGCTCAGAGAGAAGAAATGGATTGTCTGAAGCCAATAAATCAGTGGCCGACACAGAGAACTGTGTCTCCCAGATTGTAGATCGTACCTCTGGGCTCTTCCTGGTTCACAATTAAGACTTCTGATTTCTAGCATTCTGTATTTTACACCTCATAACAGCTGGGACTTCCATGCCTGGAAAACACTGTCTTGGGATAGAATTAGATACTTTTGCATTTGATGTTTTTGTTTTTCCACATAGGCTTTTGTCCAGACTGGCCTCAGACAGCAATCCTCCTATTTCCGCCTACCACCTACAGGTGCACACCACCATGCCCAACCAAGAATACTTGTTTCTAATTGTTAGACACTTGTGAAAGAACCATGGCCTGGATAACAGTGACAAAGACAGGGCACAGAACGTGTTTGTCTACCTTTAAACTGGTATTTACTAAAGAGGAGGATGAGGAGGGCAGGAGGGAGGGCAGAATAAGAAAGAGAAGGAAAGCTCTCACAAAGATTAGCTTACCACTTAAATATTTCAACCACAAATCAGGTTTCCACAAACCACACGTAAGAAACAGCATGGAGAATTTATCACACTAACACACTTTTTATTTTTTTCTAAATATATGATATTGTTATTGCAGGGGTGATACACAGACAGGTTACAGTTACATAAGTCAGGTAATGAGTATATTTCTTTTTGAACCCTGTCACCCCTTCCTTCTCTCACACTCCAGTCTCCCCGCAACCCAAGCTGTACAGTCTACTTTCCACACAGTATCTAGTGGGTAACACTGTTGTATTTGTTCACCGTTTAACACAACTTTTTCTGTGCTCCCTCTTACCTTCCCAAAGACAAACTAACAAAGAAGACAAAAGGAAAAGACAACAACAACAACTAAAATCTCCTGTTTCCATTTCTTGTAGCTCATTTTGCGAAGTATTATTCTTTTATATGCTCCTACTGCCATGCTTTTCCTGTGAAAGTACTCTTTCTGTTCAGACAGTGGCCACATCTCCTCGGTGGCCTGGGATGGAGCCTGGAGCATACCTCTAAAATTTAGAGCAAAATCAGTATATCACAAAATATTTGTCATGATTATCTTGCAACTTCATGCATCCCCTACAAATATCACTCTTTCCCTAACTGCATTTCAGTTTTAAGTCACAAGATACACACACACACACACACACACACACACACACACACACACATTCATTATTCTACATGAAGATAAGGCAGCTAATAAGCTTTTTTAAAAAAAAGTCTGTATCTTTATCAACAAATTGACCTTTAGAGGTTTACAATTGTTTATATGGACCTTGTCTTAAGATATTTATGTATTGGCTCATTTTATCTTCATTAACAGAACCTTAACAGAATCTGCAGGGACTTCTGGTCTACCCCCAACATCAGTAACTGCTCTAGTACTCCTAAAACAAACTCCCTTTGGAGGATAATAGATCTAACATTCTCAAAAAGGTGGTGTTCCTCACTAGAATCCTTCACTGCTCATAAACTCCAATACATCAGAGAGTGAAGAGAACTTTTCTGCCTATACCCTGCACCTGTTATCTTGGTGGCCTTATCCAAACAGCCCCTGTCCTAAGAGCAGCTGAAATAACAGAGGGGCAGGAGAACTTGAGACTTTTTTGACATTGTCCTTTTGTTTATAAAATCCACCTCCATCCACTCTGGAATCTCCTCATTATCCTCTTGTGTTTTTTTTCCCCCATGCTAGATTTTTATTATGAAGAAATGTATACTTGGTACAGAGAGTCATGAAGACAAGGAATAACATCTCCTTTTGGAAAATGATGGAAAGGGAAAGATAGGAGTAGACATTTGGTCATCTATATTTGCCTTGGAGTATAAATAGCGGCAGCCAGGTTCATTTGGTGTTTCCTTCGTGAAAAAAATCAGGATAGGCATTAAGAGTTTTTGAAGTCAGTAGAGAAATATCATCCTGTCATGTTGGAAATCTGACAGGAACCAGCCCTAAAAACTGCAATTCCAGGACAAGGCCTTACACTTTGCACACAAGTCTAAAGTGGGGATAAAGGAGACAGGATATAGGATATTATTCAATGGCATATGGTTGCAAACAAGTTGCTTGAACTATCTATGTCTCAGATTCATCATCTGTGAAATTAACATGAAAGTACAAGTATTCATGTACAAGTGTATTGACTCTCAAATGAGAAAACACATAGAAAGTGCATAGCCCAGGGCCAATACTAGATTAATACATGCTACTGTTATTATTTCAGACAAGAATGAAAGACATTGGTAGGATCATGTGAGAGAGAAAAAGAGAATTGCTATAGATGCAACATCAGGAAAGAGCTTGCTCATGCATACTGGGGTAATTCTGCATGGGTTTATAATGAGAGGCAACAATCAGATAATGCCCAGGGAATCCCATAGCATAATTTCCCACTTCAGTGCTTTTGCTTACACTATGTGTTTTTTTTATCCTGGATTGTTTTCTCCCAAATACTTTTCTATGGATCACGTGTTATCTGTTACTTTTCTAGCATATTTGGTATAGAAGTTAAGGGGTAAAAGTCTCTACATGTTTATCCATCAGTTAACACTTGTTTTCATTGGTGTATAACAGAATGCATTAGTCAATAGTTCACTAGATAATAACTAACTCGGTAATTATCTAGTAAGTTCACTACATAATTATAGTAAAATGAATGTGTGTTTGATTTCAAAAAATGAACAAGGCTAAAAAAGGTATGGTGGTGCACACTGTAAGTTCCAGCACTCAAGAGGCTCTATCAGGAGAATTATGAGTTCAAGGCCAGCATGAGCTATAGAAAGAAAGAAAGAAGGGAGGGAGGGAGGGAGGGAGGGAAGAAAGAAAGAAAAGAAAGAAAGAAGAGAAAAAAGAAAGAAAGGAAAAGGGTGGGGTGGGGGACAGCAAAACTAGTAGAATATATTTGGTATAATCGCGTGACATGCCTCACCTCAGATTATGTTTGTCTAGCTAATTGTCTTCTTTACATTTTCTAGGGATCTGAAACTTGGCAGCGTGTACCAATACCAGATTATCACCGTTTCAGGAACCGAAGAGAGTGAGCCATCATCTGCTGCCATATACATCCATGGAAGTGGATACTGTGGTGATGGTATTATCCAGAAGTAAGTAGTTGTAAGAGGGGAGCACAGTATATAATGAGGGCAAGATTGTCAGAGTTCTTAGAGAGAAGAGCTAATGAGATTCTAATCAGTACATGATCTTCGAGGTGCTAATGATCTCCAGCCAGCTTGCAACTGGTCTGCAAGTCATTTGCTGGCCTTCGAAGAAAATCAGTAACTCTTTTGGAACACACAGTTCTCAGTAGATGACTTAGACAGAGGTACCATTATGTACTATCATTTTTCTTCTGTTTTTACTTTGTCTTTTTACTGTCAAAACCCACAGTCAGTTAAAGGGATAGAGTTCATCCCAATTAAAGCCATTTTTGAAATTATTTTTCTGGTTGCTAAGACTGGATATCAACAGTTTCAAAAATAGGTCCAAGGGTCATAAAAATAACAAGATATTCTAAGATACTATTATACTGAAACTTAGTACCCCAGATTGAATATGGGATCTGATAAGGAGTTCATGGGAGAAAATGAATCAGTGAGTACAAAGATTCCAACCCCAAAAAGAAATTCTGATTAAAGAATATAAAAGTATATGTTGTAGATATGGCTTTGATGGAATTTTCAGTCCATCCTATCCCCTTGGTCCTCAGGACAAGATGCTAGACACCTGCCTAATAGGAACTAGCAGGAGATTTTGAGTTCCTTTCCTCCTGAATAAGCAGAAAAATATTTTATGGCATGAAATTGCAAGGGCGTTTCATTTTTTTCTGTTTTTGCTTTTATTTTTCCTTAGAGGTGGAGACAAGACCAACTATCATTTCATTCAAAACTAGATTTCTTATGGCTGAAAATTCTGTTGCTTATTGCTTTTGTATCAATTTGTGTATCATACCATCAACGAAGAGGTTTTTCTTTTTTAAAAAAATGAGTGAGAGATTTAATGATAATCATTATGTGTGGAAATGGGAAAAAATGAGCTATTGGCAAAATTCCTCCATTAAATGGCCCTGTTGGGTGTCACATAAATCTGTGCAACCTGGGATTGCAATTACTCCTTCTGTGGGGGGAGGGGTGGTGCCTCACAGTGCCATGAAACCACCCATGTACAGACGGTGGATCAGCTCACAGGTGTACATAGATGATGGGGAAGGGGCAGGGTTAGGCTTCTTTCTGTCTGTCACTAAACCTAATGTTACAGGGAGAAAGAGCAACTTAATGTGTTATTGGCAATCGTGTGGGTCTGTGAGGTCAACTAGAAACCTCTATTTTGGGATAAAGGGAGCAGCTAAGAATAGAACATGTTACAGTTGTAGGAGTAAAAAAAATAAGAGTTTGCACATGAATGCCTATCCACATAGACAGTTATTGCCCAGCGTGATGCTTTTGGATCTTGACTAATATTGAAGTAAATAGCAAATGTGAGATCAGTGAGATCAGATGAGGAACAATGAGTTTCTCTTCTTGTTTGTTTTTGTTTTTATTAACCCTCAAAAAAATGTGTACAAGATTCTGCTTCTGTCCCCCAGTGAAGGATGTCAGCTATGAATAGAAAGTAGCAACTCAAAATCTTTAAGTAATATATATATATATATATATATGTACATTTTTATATACAACATCAATTCTGTTTTATTTACTAAGACAGATGAAACTCGCAAACACTGTCTGCATAAACATTGCAAAGCCCACTGAATGTTCACTGGTCAGAATACTGATTACAAACATTCAGCACGCACTCTTGTTCTTCTGACGTAATGATCTATATAAGAGTTGTGCTTTCCCCCATGTTTTCAAGACTGATGCCAGTTATTCAGTAAGCAAGTATTAACGTACACTTAGGTAACTTTCAGAGAGGAGTTATCTGAATTTATCTGGTATCTTTGAAGGTTTGATTTTTTTTATTTTTTACTGTTTTTAAATGAATGACTTCAAACAAAATTCCTTATTGGCACTGAGGTTTGAGCCCTGGGTCTGATCATTTCCAGACAGGCTCTCTACAACTGAACTATACTCCAGCTCTTTTTTAAAAAATTTAATGTATATTTTTATTGTAAAGATACTGTACAGAGGGGTTACAGTTGCATGAGCAAGGTAATGAGTACATTTCCTAACAAGAATTGTTACACCCTCCTTTATATTTCCCCTACCACCCCCTCCCTCCCCACTTCCCTAACTCCTTTCTCCCCTTTTCTACCCACCGCCAAAGTTGTAAAGTTTGTTTTCAACATACTGTCTTATACATCTCATTGTTACAATGGGTCATCCTATATCCTTATTTCAGCATTTTGTTATTTCCCTTCCCCTCCCCAAGTAAGAAAAATGTATATACAAGATGCAGGGCACCAGAATCAAATACAGTGACAACAGAGGTTGTACCATGGGGGAAAAACATACAAAAGAAAAAAAATCACATAGTATATTATATGTACATTAAGAAGAACAACAACAAAGATAAAACCTCTTGTGCCCCTATCCTGGGGTTCATGTTGCTTAGCATCGTTATATAGTCATATGTACATTTTTTTAACCTCTTCTGCTTGTCCTAGACATACTAGTTAATGCAGATAGGGGAAACCATGGGACCTATGTTTCTTTGAGTCTGGCTTACTTCACTTAATTTTTTCCGAGTCTTTCTATTTCCTAACAAATGGGGTGGTATAATTCTTTCTGATGGAGGCATAGAATTCCATTGTGTGTGTGTGTGTGTGTGTGTGTGTGTGTGTGTGTGTGTGTATACATACATTTTCTTGATCCATTCATCTACTGAGGAGCATCTGGGTTGGTTCCATATCTTAGCTATGGTGAATAATTCCAGTTCTTTTTTGTGCTGTTTATCTTTTATCTCACTTCCTGCACAGACGATCATACCCAGTATCTTTCTGTTGAGATTGAGCCTCAGTTATTGAAGTCCTACTACTCTCAATCTCAGCTATAGCTAAGATTATGAATATAAACCATGGGCATCCAGAAAAAGACATTTAAAAAGCTAACATTGATAATGCCAGTAATGATCATTAGCACAATTTCAAGTGGCTTCCTCAAGCAGATCCATCTAGGATATATATTTATGTCCTGAATATCCTGTGAGTTTAATTTCAAAAGAAAATAATCGGGATGTTAATATTGGAGAGATAATGTAAATTTAAGTGTTGAGTTATGGTGATTGCCAAGACTGTATGAGTTAAGAACACAGAAAATAAAGCTGCTCACCGGTCTGAGCATGAACTCTACAGTGAGCATTGTGCACGTAAGAGCCACATCCAAAAACAGCGATAGAATGTGAAGACAGAGTTCCCAGCACAACAAAGTTGGGGAAAGGGGAGCCATTCATGCTTCTCTCCCACACAGAGACCTGTGCTTCCAGCTCAGTTCAAAGAGAAAGTGTCCGATTGCACGCTGCATATCAAGCTGCATGCCCAGAAGATTCAGAAAATATTTGCAGTCACTGCTGATAAACCATAATTGTGATTTGGCATTTTCTAACTTGGCACAAATAATTTTTTAATTGACAGATTGGGAGCCTTAATTTACAATTCATTCCATCCTTGTTGGAGCCAGACACAGGCACCAACACTACAAACTACCATTTTTCTTACCAATCTGAAATGGCAACCATAACCATGATTGATTTACAATAGCTTCCACAACTTAATGAAGCTATTTAATTGGGGGGGGGGTTAAATCTAGATTCAGTATTCTACACAGATAGACACCAATACTTAGGTTTTCTGTAGATAGCAGGTATATGTTATACTTTGTAGAAAAGTGTATGTAGCTAATGGATCTCATCCTAATGAAAAGAGAAAGGAATAGAGGGCAAGAGAGGGAGAACAGAAGGAGGGAAGAAGGAAGGAAAGAAAAATGAAAAAGAAAGGAAGAAACAATAGAAGGAAAGAAGGAGTGAAGGAAGGAAGGAAAGAAAGGAGGAAAGAAGGAAAGAAGGAAGCAAGCAGGGAGATATAGAGGGAAGAATGATGGAAGAGAAAGAAGGGTAACATGAAGGAAAGAAGGGGTGTCATCATCTTATTTATAGGAAAAGGAATTTATGAAGAATTATGGACACAAATGATCTACACCAAATTTCTCCCAAATTCAACTTTAGTGTAAAGATGGATAATTCTAATGATAAGAATATCTGTAAACATTTACTTATTGGGCCTCTGTCACATTGAGACATCATGCTACCTGTGATCTCCTTGATTCTTCCCAACAACGGCATTGGATAGGTCCTATTATCGTATTTTATAGAAGAAGACCCCTAATGTCCAGGGACTCTAGTGGATTCCTTAAGCTTACATACTCAGTAAGGAGTAAGTGACACATAGGACCTGAGAGCTAGGTCCTCATTTGGAGCTATCGTTGTGTTGCTCTGAGGCCTGATGACCCCTCAGAACTAACAAATGAGGGAGTGGCTGTATGCTGCCTGGTACAGCCCAGGCATTATGCTGGGCACTGAGGTAGAAGGATGACAGATTCTCTTACTCTCTTAGGCATCTCACAGCTTCACATAGGGCTCAAGAAACAGACCAAGGCAGTCAGTTTGACAACTTCTGTGATGGATGGAGCAACATGTCTGTGAACACAGAGAATGATGGCTACTCACCCAGGCCTGTGAGGTCAAAGGAGGTTTCGCAGAACCATGCTATCTAATGATAGATCTGTCATGCCTACAAGATATTTGTGGTGACCTTGATGTTTGGCTTAAACCAGTAGAACATACTGGTGATGGAAAGCAGGTTGGAAATATTCTTTGTGGCTTAGGGAACCAGCCCAGGTTTTTTGGTTGTTTTTTTTTTTTTAAGTCTCTCCCCAGATAACCCACGAAATAGCTAAGAAGTAAAAGGGTCATCAGCAATTGCTGTCCTGTCCTATAAGATTCTCTGGCAGAGAAGACTGAGATGGGAATATGGAGGTCTTTGCTCATGGGTTGCCAAGAGAGAACCTGGGTGGTTCTTTGGAGATCAGTGCAGTGTCCTAGGCCATCTTAAGGATTGATTGCTAGGCACTCTCCTGCTACTCTGACACCTCCTAAAAACAACAGTCATTGCCTGGTGTTAATCGCCTTGGTCAAAGGAAAGTCTGAGGCTTTTTCCATGCTGGGACAGGACCCAGCTGGTCTCTGAAGAGACCTCCTAAGGCAAAGTGGGAATGAGACATGTGGTTCCCTGAGCATCTACTCAGTATGACATTTGAAGTTACAGTCCCTTTTTGTATCCAACACAAGTAGTGGGGCAACTGTCTCCATTGTAAGACAAGAAAGTAAAGCTCTGAATCTGTAAGAACACCATGCAAAGAAAAAACTTTTCTACACCATGTAAATGTGTTCTGAACTTTCCAAGATTGTAGCAACTTACACATAAGTAGCAACTCAGAACTTGATGTGTGGCTACTGTGAATGAAGAATGGGATTGGCATAAGTCATCACAGAATGATCAGATGGAGAAGCCAAAGACGTAAACAAGATTATGCAGTTAGTTTGGAACATAGGGTTCTAAAACACAGATTGTCTGGTTCTGAAAGGATGGGAACATTCCAGAAAGTTGCAGTCTATCTAGTCTTTCAGTTTGTGCTTTTCCTTCTCCTTGCTCAAGCTTAATTCAGAAAATGAGTAATACTTGTTTTCTGCCCATGCTAAAATCATCTTTAGGTGATGGAAATAATTCCAAGAAAAACAAGCAGGGTCAGAGTTAACTTTCAATCAAAGATTACTAAACAAGAGGATGTGAGTGAAAATAAACTTTCCTTTTCAGTGTACTAAGCGATTTAGGGAAGCTGTCAATTCAAAGAGTGAGGGAGTCGCATTTACATTGTTGGAACCCCAAAATTTTCTTCCAAAATCCTTTTAAAATCAGAAACACAGCCAGGCACTAGTGGTTCATCCATAATCTTAGTTGCTGTATTTAGGAGAGTGAGATGTGAGGATCATGTTCAAAGCCATCCCAGGCAGAAAATTCCATTAGACTTTTATCTCCAATTAATTACCTAAAAGCCATAAATGGAGCTGTGGATCAAGTGGTAGAGCACTAGCCTAAAGAAAAAAACAAAACAAACAAAAAAATCCATCAGGGACAACATCCAGACCCAGAGACACACACAAACACACACACACACACACACACACACACATGCACACACACACACACACAATCAGTCACTCACTCACTCACTCACAATCAGAAAAATGAAGACGGCAATGAGATTTTTCTTTTTTTTGGGGGGGGTCCAGTCATGGGGCCTGAACTCTGGGCCTGAGCGCTGTCCCTCAGCTCTTCAGCTCAAGGCTAGCACTCTACCACTTGAGCCACAGCACCACTTCCGGCTTTTTTCTTTTTGCTTATGTGGTGCTGAGGAATCGAACCCAGCGCTTCAGGCATGCAAGGCAAGCGCTCTACCACTGAGCCAACTTCCCAGCGCTGGCAATGAGATTTTTCTTGATCTGTTCCTTCCTTGGCTTAGTTTTCACTCAGTTTTTACTCCCGACTGACTTGGTGTCTTAAGGAACTTGAAATTTTAGAGAAATAACTTTGAAACAAGAATTCTACTTTGTATTCAGAAGCAAAATAAGGCAGTTGTGATAGGAATTTATAAATCTACACCTTTTATGAAACTTGCTTTGAACGTGAAGAAACAGGTAAAGATAAAGGGACTTACATGAGGTCTCCTGGAAGGTTTATGGCCCATGGAAGGACTTGTCCTTGTCCTGCCCATGTTATGAAATGATCTACTAAATTTCTGTTCTGTGTCCACTGTGCAGAGACCAAGGTGAAGAATGTGATGACATGAATAAGATGAATGGTGATGGCTGTTCCCTTTTCTGCCAAAAAGAGGTTTCCTTCAATTGCCTTGGTAAGTCGTTACCATGTCTCTGGTCCTGGCTGGTTGCTTATTTATAATCATGATAATTATCTATAAATGATGGTTCACTCCTTATATTACATGCTTATTGAGTGACTCCTACGTGTTAGGTACTGTTCTGGGCACCAGGGAATACTGCAATGAAAATCAAACAAGGGAACCTAGCAATACTGAAGAATAGCTATCTCGGTCCCTAATACATTAGCGTCTCATAGATGACGGAGATGACAGGTGAATTTATTTGATCATTCTTTTCTTCATACTAACTCTCCAGGATGGCCATTACCATATCCATGTAGGATTTTATTCTTTTTTAAATTAAATTAAATTACAATTTTTTTGTGTCAGTCCTGAGGCTTGAACTCAGGGCCTGGGCACTGTCCCTGAGCTTCTTTTACTCAAGGCTAGCCTTCTGCCACTTGAGCCATAGCACCATTTCTGGCTTTTTCAGTTTATGTAGTACTGAGAAATTGAACCCAGGGCTTCGTGCATGCTGGGCAAGTACTAATCCACATCCCCAGCCCAGGATTTCATGCTTTAGAGGTAAGACAAATCAAAAGCTAGGGGAAATGAATGGTAAAACTTGCCCACAATTACACAGCTTAAAAAAAAAGATTAAAGACAGAACCCAGTCTTGAACCTGATTTTGTCTGATTCTAAAATTTGTATTCAGCCCATTTTGCTATGCTATCTCTAGCTGGGATCCAGGAATTTCCAGAATCTTCATTGCAGGCTGGGAACTGTGGGCAGTCTCTCTGATCTGCCAGAGGAGAAATAGCAGACCCGCCTGTGTTTAGAAAGCAAATGTCCTTTTCCCACCTTGCCCAACTCAGATGGGAAATGTGTTTTCCTCTGCCTTCTAGCAGTGTCTGAGCGATCTTGTTGTTTCAGCCCCACTTGGGAGGCCCTGACCAGCCCAGGGCCAGTAAACAGACAGGGGTTGGGGGAAGGGATGGAATTTTGAGCTGGCCCAGATGAGATCATACTTCCTTTAAGATGCAAATCGATACCTGAAGATCAAAGGTCTCTGGGCTAATCCCTTGGGCTAGAGGTGAAAACTAATCACAATTCATTTGCAAGTACAAAAGACAGAGGTGCACTCTCTGAAAAGGAAAGGGGCAGCTACAGTGGGGGGTGGAGGAGGGGGAAGGGAATGAAAACCTTGGTGGGAAGAATTTACTCTGAAAGGCAATTTTCTAGGAGGACTAAAGGGAAGGAGATGTCATCGCGTCCTGGCATCTGCAGTGCATTACTGGAGTGTATGTTTAGACATTTGTTCTCCTCCTAGATTGAACTTCACGAAGGCTTAAGAACCTTGAATCACTTACCTTTAATTCCATTCTCAACACAAATTTATTGAGCACCTACTGGCTCCTTTGTACCAAACACAGGGTCTATATACATAACAAGGGGTGCACTGCAAATGTTTGTGTTTGAGGTGGGGGGGTGGGGTAGAGGAAGAACAAGGAAGAAAGGACTAGGGAGTTTACAGACACCTTAGGTCTTTCAATTGCAAGATATGGTTTCCTTCAGTCTTGTAATTTCCAATGCATATCTGATTCCTCTTAATTGTGGACTCTACTTGAACCTTACCATCACCTTCCTCACAACTAACTGACCTCGCTGGAAAATATCTGCCCATTTTAACTCACTTGACTGTGGCATATAATGTAAAGGCTCTGGGAAGGAAGTGGGATGTGGTAGAGTTAGGAGATGGTAGGGATGATTCCTACAGATAGAAGCTTGTGGCCCATGGAAAGGGTCTACGAACTATGGTCCACATGCCAGAACAGGCCTACTGTCTGTATTTGTAAATAGACATACTTCTTTTTTTTGTACATAGATCTATCTCTGCTCTCACATTACAAACAGATTCAAGGGATTACAAATGGCAGCCTATGGCCCAAAGGAACTAAAATATCTACTCTCTGGCCCCTTACTGTACACAGTATGGCATCCTCTTGAATTTGGATATTTGATAAGTGTTGGCACCGGACACAGACAGCAAATGAAAATCATGACACTAGTCATGGTTTCTTAGAAGAACTGGGGACTGGAAGAAGCTTGCGGAGAGAAAATGAGGCTGTGAATCTAAGTCTAGCTTGCTTGGCCTGGCCTCTTGAATGTCACTTCCTCCTCTGTGTTGAAATGACTGCTCAGGATTAGATCCACTAGGTTAGATGGTGATGCCTGCGTGATCAGGAGGAAGAGGAGGATGTGCATCTTACAGACTTTCATTCTCTACTGGATTCTAAGGGCTTGGCTCCCGCTTGCCATATTTTCTGAATACAATACACTAAGCACATTAATAAACTCCATTCTCAGGATAACTCTTAATGGCCTGCTTTTACAAAACAGAAAACAGAGGCATGGGGCTGTAAATGAAGGATCCAGAGTGACATGGTATCGTTGGAGTTAAACCCGGAGAGTCTTGACGCTGAGCCTACCATGGCAAGCTACTTGCAGAAAGGCAGCAGAGCTTAGGGAGTGAATGAAAACCATATCATTATGAAGCAATTCATGTAACAATTTAATGGGATGGAAGGCAAAATTGTCAGTAGTATGGATGATTTCCAGGGAAGGCTCTCTCTTACTTACCCCAGCATACTGAATAATATTTGTTTTTAGGGGAAGAATCTCAGCTGTGCCCTCCAATTGGCCATTTAGAACCTGATTATAGACACAGAGACACAAGCATTCCAGACAGAATGGAGTTCATCCAGAGATCTCAGCTCCCAGGGACCACATTTCAAGGACAAATTCCATAGCTTGAGTCTAGAAAACCTTCTTAAAGGAACAGCTAAAACAAAAATGAGACAATTTGACCCAGAGTCAGCATTCAGGTGTCAGAGAAGTGAAACTGGAGTGTCAATAGCTTTGCTGAGGAAGATATTATTCTCATTATTATGTGTGTTTAAGACATTATGTGTATGTAAGAGAACAAGTTTGAGCAAGAATGACATGGGTTTACAATATAGCTGTGTGATGTTGGCCAAGCCTCAGTGTTCTCATCTAGAAAATGTAAAAGCCCTCAAGCCTGTCTTCAATATTTGTGGGTATTTGCTATCAGAATCCCTTCCCTAGATTTAGTGAATCTCATTTTCATGGTGAATAAATCCTTCACTAGAGCTGCTGACCATCCGGACTTCTCCCAATTACTCTGAAGCTGGAGTGTAGACACCACAGCCTAGACTTCCCCATTCCCCTCCCAGCCTAGACTTGCCCCACAAATAGACACAACATCCTGAGACTTAGCATCTGAAGTTGATGGTGATGAGACATAGGAACTCTCAGCCCATATTTAATGAAGATGGAGGGAGCATTACACTCATGACAATTTTTAAAGTGCCAAAGAGGGACAACATCTAGAATCACAGCTGAAGTAACTTAACAGCTGTGGATCTCTGCACAAGATGGGTCCTGGGGCTGAATCTTAAACCTGGAATAGGAGGTGTCATAAGATGCAAGGCTAGCTCTCCAGCCCTCCCAGGGAGTCCTCTATTAAGAAGCCATCCAAACTGGATTTCTGTGGATTACGATTTAAAATCCTATCTGAATATTATTGTATCATAAATACTGTGTGGTTTAGTCCAGTGTGGAGAGTTTGGATGTGTTGGGTGAAGGGAGGCAGGAATTGCCAGGGACATCAGCCATGACCATCCTTTATGAAGAGCCATTATGTTGGATGGCAGTCCCGGGCTAGGTATCATTATTTCGTGTGAGCCTACTTATGAGCCCTCTTGTTTCCATGTGTAGATTTGAAGTCTTAACTGACTCCAAGTTAAATAGAATCAGTTTTCCTACCCTGCTGCTGCCTCATTTATTACAATGGCTTCCTTCCTTCCTCCCTCTGGTTTTCTTCTCCTTCCTTTTTTCCTCTTCCTCCTTCCACTCTTCTTTGACTCTTTCACCTTTACTTTTCTCCTCCTCCTCCTCTTCTTCCTCCTTGTCCTTCTCCTCCTCCTTTTCCTCCTCCTCCTTTTCCTCCTCTTCCTCCCCCTTTTCTTCCTCCTCTTTCCTCCCCTCCTCAGCCTTTGCTCTCTTTCTTCTTCACCCATGCTGCCCATTTTGCCCATTTGGAAGGGTTGTTTTCCCCACAGTCAATAACATCAGTGTGATGATGAATGACAGATTTATGGAGATGCCCCAATCACTTTTCAGAAGCCCACACATCCAGACGGATCCCCAAGGTGCCATTGTGTTATTATGCAACACCCCAAGGACTTCCCTTTCCCATTTTCCCACCCCCAGTATCCTCATTCACTAGTACATAATAAGTCACTTATTAAAACAAACACCACCCACAAGACCTCTTGGGCAATGCAGGCTTCATCCCCTCTCAATGTGGAAATTATCTTGTCCTCTTCCCCCTTTTAAAAATATAACATACACCAGGCCCAGAGCTTCAGTTAAGAAACGTGGTATCAGTGAAATAATAACACTGCCCCCCTGGCCCATGCTGGCTAGAAGCATTGTTCAGCAGCAGTAGGGATTCTACTCTAAGGCATGGAGTCATAAACTACAGCCAGGCTGCTGATAAAAGCTGAAGGAGGGAAGGTAATGGTCAAATTAGTCAGACAAAATGCAAAGGATCCCCAAAAGGGGTTCTACTTAGTCATATATCTTGAGTCAGAGCTGGAAACATGCTACCTTCTGAGATGACATTTAAGCCATTACAGGAGATGCAATGTGGGTTGTGTTTTGATTTAGTACACTATGGGGTCTCAGGGTAGCTCCATTCACATTCCAATTTAGATGTAGAAGCCTGTGCTGTTTTAAATCCCAAAGCAACAGTTTTTCCCTCCCTTGTGAAAGAAGGGAGACTGGGCACTCTCTCTCTCTCTTACTCCACCTGATATTAAGGAAGTCCCAGTTTGTCAAACAGATATTTCAAGGTTTGGGAGGAGGGTCAAATCCTGCCTGATGCTGATATATCATTTCTTTAGAAAAACAATGTGAGAAGGACCCCCAGGAACTTTTTCTCTTTTTCT